GGGGGGGGGGGGGGGGGGGGGGTTATCGAATTTTCAATGAAGTTGCATTTTGATCTAGTTCAGTTTAACTAGAAACATAATTACTCCCCGTACCATGATTCAAATTGTTCATATTAAGTTTCAAAAAAAAATCTATATTAACAATGGGGACAATCTAATTCATATTTTGGCTTTCTCAATGCATGTTGATAATGATGAGGGCATTAATGCCAAGATCGTTTCAAGCCCAACATCAGTACGAGAAAAGGCTGCTCAAGTTCAGGGTCCAATTACTTGAAGTCAAACCAAAGCGTTCAAGGCTCAACTACAAGCATATTTGGCTAAGAATTTTGCATCGGTGGAGCCTGAATTGTTTGTGGGCCAAGAGGTCAATTTAATCTGTGTAACACCCCGTTTCGACTAAAATCGTATTATTGTCACTAGAAAAATTACGCGATTAAAATCGAAAGTTTTGATAGTATTTCGACGAAAATCGGATTATCGATCGATCGAATAAGTATATGTATTAATTATATATTATACATTATATATAATTATAGCAAGTCGGTCACAGACCACTTAAATATATAATTCCCTCCTTGTCCAATTCTTCCCATCCCATTTATGTTCTTTCTTTTCCTTTTCTGGGAGCGAGAGAACCAGAGAAGCAAGGCCGCACATGGGAGCTCAACAGAGAATTAGCAGAGCTAATTTCTTGAGCTTTAGTGATCCAAACATCTCGTAAGTAATACCTAATCCATCTATATATCGTAGTTTATTGATTTAGAGCTTTAAAACGAGTTTTTGGATTAGGAATTTCTTGAGTTTCTAATCGAAGGAATTAGGGTTTTGGAGTATCCGGAAGCCGGATTGAGCCAAGATTTCATATACGGGCTTCCTGCAATGACGTAATTGATCCTCTAGTTCTAATCCATGAATTTCGGCTATGATTTAGGTCAGAGCCGGAATCGCTGAATTTAACTCCGGGCAGGGTTTGATGTGTTATTATCGAGAATTTGACCAGGAGCATAGAACTAACATTGACGAGGACACTGCAGGGATATTAGGATAATCTCGGATTTTGATTCCGGGTTTGTTTGAGAAAGTAAAGTTGGGGTACGGCCGTACGGGAGGCTAAAACCGGTGTTTGAACTACCAGAACTAGTGAGGGATTAGCACGGCATACCGGGTTTGTCGTATCACGATAATTATATTGATGCTTAGAATTGACCTAGGTGAACTAGAATGACATGATTAGGGGGTGTATGAACTTTTGTGCTATATGTTGAACCCTAGACTGCTGTATGGTATTATTGAATTGCCCTAATCGATATGGACCTTGTTTATGCTGATGATTTCGTATATGTTGCAAATTGTGGGCTTGATTGTTGATATGCCTTATGATGGTTCGAGAAGGTGATTGGGTATGATTTTTCATGATTGATGTATTTGGATGTACAAGTGGGAAAATATATATCCCATGGTTATATTTTGATGCTTTAGGAGGATGACTTGCACGAGGGTTATCCCGAGGGAGTGCAATTATACGACTCGTGTTTTACTTATGTTGAGCCAATTATGGTAAGGTCAAGTACATGTGCAAGTAAGGAATTATGATTAAACAAGATGAGTTATGAATCATGTATAAGGATACCAAATAAGAGTGAGTTGGTCTCATGGTCAATTACATAATAATTAGGGCTCCCCATGCTATTACTCCGTTATGATATGTTATGTCACACCCATGATGTGGTGTTGACCGTTGATTCATCATGAGATATGACCACACCCAGAGTGGTGTTGAGTCCGATATGACCACACCCAGAGTGGTGTCAGGTCCGATATGACTACACCGACAGTGGTGGGTCCGATATGACCACATCCACGAGATGTTTGGTCTGTATTCCTAGGAGAGTAATTAGCATGGGAGTAGCCAGGCGCCTATGATTAAAACATGATAAGATGCATATGCATAAGTCAAGGTGGTTGAGTCTTTTGCCTATTGGGATGTCGGATGGCTGAGGTCTGATCCTAGTGCTTTGGCTTGTTTGCTAGATGTATGGTAGGGGTATGCTCTGTTACGAACTCACTATGTTATGATTATCTCACTCAGCTATGAACTTACCCTCTTTATCCTTTCTCTCTGCTTATGCCATGTGTAAGCAGATCATCATCGGTAACAACAGTAGATAGGTGTATAGGTGGGAGCTGAGCAAGAGTTGAAGGCAATATGAGGTATGGTCTTCAACTATTTTGTGCTTGGACTACTACTCGGGATTTTGGCCAGTGATCCACACCTCTTTTGTAAAAATGTTTTGATAACGTTTTTCATGTGCATACTAGCTTCTGATGTAGTGTGAGATATAGACAGGTGTGGAAGTTTGATAATATGTATATATTTGTGTGATTGTGTAAGTTCTGATGATTATGGCATGTATAAGTATGGTATGCAGTTGTGGGGTATGAAAACTGTGACTATGGCTATGAAAGCCAATGTATATGGTTGTGGATATATATTTATGTCTACGAATGTAGGGATTCAGATGACTTATTTTGTAGGTCTAGTTGTAAGAACTGTTTGCCCATTACGCAAGTAATTAGGGGTGGCAGTTCGGTTATTTCAGTTATAACCGGTAACCGATTGGTCGGTTATCGGTTAACCGAAATAATCACTCCCCCTACCGAAAACCGCCCGAAATAGGCTTCGGTGTCTCGTTTATCTCGATTATCGGTTAACCGAACCACTTTTAAGACCAAAAACCATTTCGTCCAGCCTCCGATAACCGACCTAAGTTCGGTTAGTTCGGTTACCGGTTAGTGGATAACCGGTAATTTCCGAACGACCACCCCTACAAGTAATTCATGTCGAAATTATATTTGAGTAATTTTTGGTAATTAATGTAACACCCGAGATTATTTCCGCTGCAAATGTATGAACAATATTATTAGGTAATACGTATAGGGTAGGGTGTTACAATCTGCATCCAAGAAGAGAAAGAAGGTCAGACAAGCCCAAAGGGAAGTCCAATACGTGAAACCCATTAAGCTGGACCCGTTAAGAAAGCTTGTGGACATATTCTTGTTGTTTTTCCTTTTCCTTTTGGTATTTGGTTTCCTTATCTTATAGAAGTCGATTTTTGAGTTGTTTAAGGAGAGAAACAGGGTTTCGTAACCTCTATTAAAGGAGGGTGATTTGCCTACGGGCTTGACATGTTTTGATCAACAAGATAACCCAAGTTTTGAGTATTCGACTCTTACTTTTCTTTCTTGTTCGTTCGTGGAATCGAGCCAGCAAGAAGAGTCCGACGTTATCAACTAGTTCATCACCCTAGTTGTGGAGTCACATCGTATACTTGACCCTGTTCCCAGCCGTGGAGTAGGTTAGAGTTAGTTCTGTTTGTGTTCATTGTGTTAGTAATCGTGTACTTTGTTGCGTTTCTGATTGATAAGTCTAGGAGTTGGAGCCTCGACTTTAGATAACCTAAGGACAAAAACCCTAATTCCCTAGTCTACAACACCTATTCACCATTACTAATGAGAACACACATATTTTGTTGTATTGGCTTATTAGCTACATATTTTGCCATATGCACTTAAAAAGTCGGAAAAAGTGTTTCAAACATTCCATTGGAGAAGACCAAAGTTGAACATAATGAACACAAGCTAAAAACCAGGAGCACACGAAATGATCAGCCCCACAAATGATAGAGGGAATACCAAGGCACCTTAGAGCACGAGATCGTAATTTTTTTCATACAAAAATGCATGTTTTACCATCAAATCCTCCATCGGTTCTTGAAATGTCGGAGGCTCATATGGATGATGATGATATTATCTTGAATCATCGTCTAGAAGAAAACAAGTTTAAATTTTGAGGAAGGGTTAGATGTCCACTATTTTAGATGATATGCCATGATATTTTTTAAAATAACCTCTTATCCAAGATACAACAGCTAATGTTCGATTTTGAGATTACTTGTCTTCTTTTTAAGGGCAATGTAAGTATTATTCCGTGCACTCGACATCATTATAGTGTTAGATAAGTCCTTAATCCTTTCTCAAAAATTATATGATTATAAGTTATAACCAACAATGATTCGAACTTGATGAAGAAAAACTGGTATGAAGAGATAGGTGTTGACACAAATGTTCATAACTCTTTATTGATCTCTTATGTTGAGATTTGTAGTCTCTAGTGAGCTATACTGATTAATGAGCGGAATCATTCATCTTTACATAAACGACAAAGCATCATTTCATTCATTCGAACACAAGACCTCTCGGTCACAAAAGGCTCTGACACCATGTCAATAACCAGTTGATTCCAATTACTACAATTGTTGGGAGAGATTCAATAATATATCTTATACCACTCACTAACAAGTTTTTGCAATCCTTATCTTTCTGAAACTATTTGGAATATATTTCCCCCTTTTGAATGGCTAAAATATAAGAACTACTGAAATTGATAAAACGGTTCAAGTCTAGACGGTTAAACATTTGAATTATCTTTGACCTAGTTAGGTGACTGATCACTTCTAAATTTAAAAGTCTGTCTCGTACCTAGAATTGCAAAACCGTACTGGAGGTTGTAGCAATAAAATATTTTGTGATGAAAGTGATTTAACTATTCTTTACCGCTAAAAGCCACCTCCGGTATGAAGTTGCTCAATCGATCCGCCAGTACGAGATTTTTTTGGTCGAACCACGGTTTCACAAACACTGCCCATACTGAATTAATATCCGGGTCGTGGGTTTTCCCCCGGTCAGACCGGATGGTCAACAGTAACAGTGACAACCAACAGTGAGTGCCACCCTAGGACCTAAAGTAAACCCTGCCTACTTGGGTCCCTTGCCGGCCAGTCCGCACTTCCTCAAGGAGGCGCATCCGCGCATGTACTAACAAGTAACAAACACGGGAAGAGAGAAAGAAAACAAGAAAAGGGGTAACTAGAAATTACACCAAAGGAGCAGAAGAGATTTCCAAAAACCCTAACAACGTCGAAAGCCGCTCACCGGAAATGGCGACGAAGTTCGGATTAGCCGGCGGGATACCGGAGCGCCGTGTTCGACCGATATGGGACGCCATAGATTCTCGCCAGTACAAGAACGCTCTCAAGCTATCCACTTCACTGCTGTCCAAGTATCCCAATTCTCCTTACGCCCTTGTAAGATTTCCACGAACTCTTCGATCCAATGCATTTATGCTCTTCTCTTTGACATCTGCTTATCTTTCATTCTTTCTTTTGAGCCATTACTGAAGTGGCTGTTTCTTGAGTGATCTTGGAGTGTTCTACTTGAAGTTGTTTTTGGCGTGGAGATGTATAGAATGTGTGCTGTGTCTGTAGCTTGGTTATGTAGTTTGGCTTGGGCGAATTGCTGATTTCGTGTCTCATACTGTTTCATTCCTCTGGTGGATTCCTTGATTAAGTGGTGAAACATGTGTCCTTTCTGTAGGCACTGAAGGCTCTGATTTTGGAGCGAATGGGAAAACCTGACGAAGCATTGTCCATTTGCTTGAACGCCAAGGACCTATTGTACAAGAACGACTCTCTGTTGATGGATGACCTTACTCTCAGCACGCTCCAGATTGTTTTCCAACGGCTTGATCGTTGTGGGTATTCTTTTCTTGCTTTTCCGACAGTCTCTATTTTCGTGCTTCTGTAAATGATTTTCTAACATCTTCTGTTCTCTCCTTTCTTCATGCAAAATATAATCAGTGGATTTGGCTACAAGCTGTTATGAGTATGCTTGCGGTAAATTTCCAAACAATTTGGAACTGATGATGGGGCTTTTCAACTGTTATGTTCGTGAATATTCTTTTGTCAAACAACAGCAGGTTGGATTTCGTTCCGACCTTATCCTTTTGCACTTAACCTTGCTTATAGTGTGTTTAATGTCAGTGTACTAACCCACGATACTGATGATTCTGGGATTAACTTGTTTCAGACTGCAATTAGAATGTATAAGCTTGTTGGTGAAGAAAGGTTTTTGCTCTGGGCTATTTGTAGCATCCAGTTACAGGTATATGTAAACTTCCTTTTCTTACTCTTCCTATGCCTACCGTTCTGAACTTCACATGTTGCTACTGGAGGGAGTTGCTGCTGTGCTTTGCAATTTCTGAGGTTTTAGTCTCTTCCAGGAGTGAAAACCCTTTGATATCTAGTATAGTGGTGTCTGCCGCTTTGAGTAATCCCTGAATTTGTTTTCTAGAGCCTGGAACTGAAATTCTACAGCTGCGTATTCATTCTAAACGGAGTTTTAGATTGATATAAATTGCAAAATAGTTTTATATGTATTATATTTACATTCTTGTTAATATATATTTTTTATTCTGGTAGGTGTTCTGTGGAAATGGTGGAGAAAAGCTCTTGGTATTAGCCGAAGGGTTAATTAAGAAGCACATTGGTTCCCACAGCTTGCATGAGCCTGAAGGTTTATTTGTTTTCATTTGTCACTTTTTCATTATTGTACCATTAAATGGCCTCCTTTCTAAAGACTTGGTTGTATTTGCAGCTCTGATTGTCTATCTCTCCATATTGGAACAGCAAGCAAAATATGGTGATGCCTTGGAAGTTCTTTCGGGGAAATTGGGGTCATTGCTGATGATTGACATTGATAAGCTACGCATACAGGTACTATCGGCAGCTTGATGGCCATCTATTTTGAATTATTTAATATAAGCTCAATCCTAACTTAAATCAAGCCATGATGGCTTTTGGGCATGAAAGTTACTGGCTTAACTAATGTACTCTGGTAAATGGCTTCTTTGCTGCATGGGAATGAAGTTCCATTTGCTTTCTTTTGCTTTTTTCTTATGTGCTTTTTTAATTCTAGTTTCATCTTTGCTTGTTTTAACTGTTGGCTCCCTCGAACCCTCAATCTTTCTAATTATTTCTTTGTTGGCTAAGCCTTGTAGAGGTATTTTCATTTCATTTTCTGGTTTCATTATCAACTTCTACTCTTTGACTTCAAGTTGACAGGGGAGACTTCTTGCACGATCCGGTGACTATACTTCTGCGGCGGACATATACCAGCAGATTTTAGAGATAAGGTACGTGTTTAAATGTTGGTTCTCTTTTGGCTTTACATGAAGACTTTGAATCACCAAATTGCAAGAGCATATATCTCGGCTGGATCAATGCTAAGCTTGTACGTGTCTTCAATGAATTCTCTTGGGTACTCAACTCCACTTTGAGTAAAAGTGGTTTAAATTCTCTCTCTCTCTCTCTCTTCAATGAATCCATAGGCCTTGACTCAGAGATTATGTCACTGTGAACTATTTGTAAGAGAATCCAAAATTGAATCTAAGGATCCAGAGTTGAAATAGAGAAGGCATATGGAAATTTTGGTTCTGTTTTGTCTGTCCTCTCTTCCTCGTTGCTTTATCTTTTGAGCGTCAGAATGATTCTTTGTTCAAATGGCTGATCTCCACCTGCATCCATAACATTGAACCTTCTAATTTTTAATGACTTGTTTGTGTGCAATTTTCCAGCATCTGATGTTCTTTTGTCTTTCTGGCAGCCCTGATGATTGGGAGTGTTTCCTACATTATCTAGGCTGCTTGCTAGAAGATGATAGCAGTTGGAATCACGAAGCCGATTCTGATTCAATTCATCGTCCTAAACATGTTGACTTTAAGGTCTCACATTTAACAGATGATAAGGTACAAATTGTTGTTCGTCTATGCTAATTTCTTTGTGTATCTTTCTTTTTCTTTTCTCATATCTTATGTTCTTGTTCTGGAAGCTGATTTGTCTAAGCTGGATCTGCAGTTTGAGTCTTGTATGTCAAATGCCTTGGCCTTTGTTCAAAGATTACTCGTGGACACTACAGATGATCCTGTCAGAGGCCCGTACTTGGCAGCCCTAGAGATTAAAAGGAGGAAGCATGTATATGGCACAGGAAGTGATGATGAGCTGGTGGAAGCTCTACTGAAATATTATCTCAAGTGGGTTAAGGCGTTCCTGTCTTGTTTGAATTTTGTGAAATTGATTTACCATTTCACGATGTATATGTACTTCTTTCTATTTTTCATTCATGTCTTGTATGATTGTAGGTTTGGGCACTTAGCCTGCTTCTCTTCTGATATTGAATCTTTTGTTCAACAACTTACCCCAGACAAGAAGACTGAGTTTATGGATAAGATAGTGAAAAGTTGTGATTCCGTGACAGCAACAGGGACTAAAGTGCTTGGTCAATCTATAACAATATTCAAACTTCGAGAGTTGATTGGGAACCTGCTCAATCTTCCTGTGGTTGGTATGCTTCTCTTTCACATGCATATATCGTCTAATTGTTAATTTTCACACTCTAGTCTTCTTGTCTTCCCTGGAAGTTTGTCTATCTCGTGACCTTAGGAGAACTGGTTCGATATATCATACTGCTTTCCTATAATTTTAAGAAAGCCTGAATCACCCTTCGTTTTTATTTTTTATTTATTTTTATGTTTATTGTCTATATTCAGAATACTTGGGTCCATGAGGTTTGATGACATGTGGGATTTGCTCCTTAGGTTTTTGAATATCTACTCTTTTGGTTCTTGCTGTAAACTGTATTGAATTTGAATCCAGTGACCAAATTGTTGGGTTCATTGAGCCGTAGTGATCTAGGAGTAATTATGTGTTTTCATTTCTCAGTTGGGATCCTTAGTTGTAATGCCAGATTGAGATGATGAGTTGGCATATCCTTTCTTTATTCTATTAAAAACGTATTTAAAATCCTGGTAGATTAGCCATGGTTTACACCTTTGTTTTGTACTTAATGTAATGGTTTCGTGATAATCACCCTTCAAAGTTATAACCAGGTTTACTAACTTCTTCATGTTTTGTTTACTAGAACTTGAGAACTTAGCTGCAGAGATGGTTGAGATGTTCTGTAAAAACCTTCCACTATCTAAAGACTTGGACCCACAAGAGAATATGCATGGTGAAGAGCTCTTATGCCTTGCCAGCAGTCTGCTAGTTCAGGTATATTATTTGATGGGCTAGTGTTCCTGGTGATTTTCATCTGTTGGTTTACCCCTTACTACAACTTGAGGATGGAAAACCTTTGTTCTTGTAGCAAGATTTTGCATTTTTAGGTTCCCATATCATGTCTCTAGTCTCTAGCCGAAGTGTTTGCATAGGACCTATGTAGCTGTGCATTATTGACTGTGTTCACACAAGAGATGCATGTGCCATGGATGCCATCTTGTAGGCATTGACATGACGCACTTGCATGCCCCTTGAACACTTGAGCTGTTACTCATCCATGTATTGGTTAATTTTGCTTTAGCTTTTCTGGCGGACAGGGAACTTTGGTTACTTCGTGGAGGCAATCATGGTACTGGAGTTTGGTTTGACAATACGAAGGTGATGAAATACTGCATAATATCTTTTTATAAGGGATGTTGACCCCAAGGTTTGAAACCTTGGTGGATTGGAAATGACACCTAATTTTTGTTCAATATTGGACTTGTCAGTTATCACATTAAAGCTTCTTTATCTAGCTGCCGTTCCTGTGTAGAGTTTTTCCTTTTCTTTGAGAAATGATTTGAGTTTGTATGCTGGGTTGTTGGAACTGACTGTTAGTCTGCATACATCCAGATATGTCTGGCAGTACAAGATCTTGCTGGTGCATCTGTATTCTCATTTGGGCGTGCTTTCATTAGCTTATGAATGGTAAGGTGCTTCTGATATTTGTTCTTCTGTCAATATTCATATAATGCTACGTTCTTTTGTCTCCCTCATTTAACATGTTTTCTTGATGCGACTCTGATATCTCTTGTACAGGTATAAATCCCTAGATGTGAAGAATATTTTGACAGAAACCGTTTCACACCACATTTTACCCCAGATGCTGGTATCTCCGCTGTGGGAAGATTTAAGGAGTTTGCTAAAAGATTATCTTAGGTTCATGGATGACCACTTCAGGGAATCTGCTGATCTCACTTTTCTTGCATACCGCCATAGAAACTATTCCAAAGTATGCAGTCTGCTCCTTTTTTATTGTTATATGAATATTCTTTTTCCATTCATATAACTCTTGCGAGATTTTGTTGGTTGTGTTGTAATAATAATTCATTGAGATTGGGGACTAGAATTTGACACAGATAGTTGGTGTACTAAGTAGCATGTCTTGGTTTCAGGTAATTGAGTTCGTACAATTTAAAGAACGACTCCAACGCTCAGATCAGTACTTGGTTGCAAAGGTTGAAACATCAATTCTACAGCTGAAGCAAAAAGCAGATTCTATTGAAGAAGAGGAGGTATTTTTTTTTATCCTTAGTTTTGGTGTAATTTTCTGGTTTGGTGACTAATACAGGCATTTTAACTTTCAGCGTGTTCTTGAAGATCTGAAATGTGGGGGTCACTTTGTTGAGCTTTCTAATGAAATTGGGTCAAAGTCGTTGTCATTTAATGAAGATCTCAGTTTGCGGCCATGGTGGACACCGACTTCAGAGAAGAATTATCTCTTAGGCTAGTGTCTCTTACACTTTGGTTTATGTTTGAGTTTGTTATTTCGTTTAAATTTCATTTTACAGCCTAAAATTTTGGTACTGATCTGTGCATTTTGAAGTTGTTTTTTTCCCTCTTTGGTAAAAGTTTACTTGCATTTATAAATAATCATGTGGTTTAAACACTTAAAAAGGTGAAATTTGGAGTGAAGATGCATTGTTTGCCCCTTGGACCATAAACTACATTCTAAAATGTAAAATAGTAATTTTGGTTGGCAAGAAGGAACAGAGAGACATATAATGGGCTATCCCAGTTCTTATTTAGTCAATGGTGAAACTTAACTTCAGTGACCAATTTCTTAATGAAAATTCAGCACCAGCTCCTGTATATAGTTTGTGGGTATGCAGTAGGCTTTTCCTTGTCTCCTTTACATTGTTCCCTAACTTAAGTTAGCTAATGGACTTAAAAGGGAATGATTCAGATGCATTTACACGTGCAATTGTTAGTGGGGTTCTATGTCATAAAAGTTGTTTGTTGTTTGTAAATGGGCTCTACTCTATTTATCAAAATGCTGATCCTTAAGTGATTCAATATTTGGTTAATGCAACTAAGGGAGATGTTTAAGGGCCTTGATTGAATATTTTCTAATGTTGTAGTGCTTCTTTGAGCTAATTTGCTTTCTACATAAAAGGAGGATATCCAGCTATTTTGTGCTTCTTAGAGCTATGGCATCTAAATCTGTAACATTTGAATTTATCCAGTGTGTATTTACTAATCATGATCTGTGTTTCTTAATCACTTGAACCACAGGTCCTTTTGAAGGAATTGCTTACTGCCCCAAGGAGGACTTGGTAAGTAACTTTTGTCTATGATCGACTGATCGTGAATAAGTTAATATGGGCCTGTTTGGAACCAATGATTCTAAGGATAGATATATTTTCAAAATACATAGGTTTGAAAGAATGTTAGATTGTTGAGTAAAAAAATGTTGAATCAGACGAGTGAGTTGATTTTAACAATACATTGTTTGAATTATGTGATCAATTATAAGTTGTAAACCACATTATGGGTTACATGTCCACTCTTGTGGGGTTGTAATAACATAAACTTAGACATGACGGGTGAGAAGTATAGAAGTGGAACTAGTCTCTGTTTCGATTACAGAGTCAGGATTACAGTCTCTGTTTCACATAACTTTTTTTTGCGCAAAAGAATGATGGATTGGATGAAATAGATGGATTTTTCATCATCCATCTCAAGTTGCAAGCAAATCCAAAATATGCATAATATATTCCATAGTGTCTCTAATGATTCCATTTGTTTGTTGCCTGCTTCTTGACTTAATTAGGCAAAAGAAAGGGAAGAAAGAGTGCGGAGGATGATTGAGAAGAAGTCTCTTCTTCCTCGGCTGATTTATCTTTCAATTCAAAGTGCGTCTGCATTAAACAAGGACAACATTGAGATGAATGGTTCTTCTTCTGATCCTAACATTTCTAAGGAACTTAAGTATCTGCTTGAACGGTATGCAAAGATGTTGGGATCTACATTCAGTGATGCGGTAGATGTGCTCATGAGGGTCTCTACTGACCAGAAATCCTCCCAGGTATGACGGCGATTTCTCTTCTCATCTGCATTATCATTTTCTTGTTATAAGTTTCATTGAGGCATTTTTTGGGGGGTTTAACTGGGGTTTTGATACAGGCATTTGGTTCAGACACTGTGGACTGGCTGCACTTTGCTGTGTTCTTAAATGCTTGGAACTTGAGTTCTCATGAACTCTCATTGCCAGATGGGAATAACAGTGGGCACAGCATTATTCACGTAGTCGATACTTTGCTGATAAAGCATGTTTCAGAAAAGATTAAGATATCGGATCCCCTCAAGTTCACAGGGGGTCAAGACTTTTCAACTTTAGTCCTACTGGTGACTGAACCGTTGGCCTGGCACAGTATCATTCTCCAGTCTTGTGTTCGTTCGTCCTTTCCATCTGGGAAGAAGAAGAAGAAGGGTGGAGCCACTGAACACCATAGCTCTCAGTTACTGAATGCCCTTCGAGATTCAACCCACTCTTTGCACGATGTAGTGGAAGAGGTGACCAAATGGTTGAGGAAACATATCAACACACCAGAGGAAAGCCACGTGGAGATGCTGGTCTCTTCTATCAGGAGAAACGGAGGAGAACATGCTGGCGGGCCTGGGGCTGTTTTCCAGGTTCTGGAAAATGTGGTACCTTCTCTTGATGCGAGTGAAGTAGGCGGAAGGATCTCCCGTTCATTGAAGTCATGGAGTGCTGTTGATATTGCCAGGAAGGTAGCAAAAGGAAATTCTGCTGTGCTATCCCAGTTCCTTCAAATTTGCATGTCGAAGGTCAAGTCGTTGCAAGCACTGAAACAGCAGATTGCTCAATTCTGAAGGGCTGACGCAGGGTTGCATGTCGAAAATTAAGTCCGTTGATTTGGGCTAAGTTTCATGTGGACGAAACACTCTCCTTGTTACTTTGAGTCTTGAGATGTTTTTACCTTTGTTCCCCTGGCGGGTTTACTGTTTATCACTGTTTGGTCCTATCGTGAGAATTACACAGATTTTGGTAGCGCACAGCAGTTCATGGTAGCCTTACTGCAGTTCGTTCCGGTGAGTTTCCGACAAATTTTTTCAGGACTAACTTCTACCCGTCATATGTTGCAAATTTGGGTTCTTTTTATGGTTGGGTGCCAGAGTTTATGAACAGCTTGATCCAAATATGAATCTTGTTATGCATGTTAAGATTGATAGCGTATTAGTTAAATGAACATCATGTGAATCACCAGAGCATCCATGGTGAACTTTTCATTGACTGTTCATATTGGCCAGTCAGACCATGAAGACAGTTTTTTACAGTATCGTATTGGCCGGTCGGACCACAAAAATGACCAATTGCCAACGGGGCGTACTATTTGTAGCCCTAAATTGTCTTTATTTGTAGTCCTAATTTATAAAAAGTACAATAATGTCCATCACATTTAAATACATTTAGTTCACACATTCCAAGACCAAAACATTCAAACACTTTCTCCAAACACAATCCTGCAATACTCGCCGCCGGCGACCGCCACCTCCCGCCACCTCCCACCGACGACAACGACAGATTACCCGACGACGACAGACACCTTTCTTCGACGAGGTACGCCGGCAAATTACCCGACGACGACAGATTTTGCCGTTGTCGCCGGCGACGAAAACGTCTTGCCGGGACGTCGCCGGTGTTTATTTTATTTTTAATTTTCTGTTAATTTAAATTTGTGAAGTATATTATATTTTTTAAATAGATATTAATTTAGATTTTTTGGTTATTATTTTAGATTTTTTTATAATAGATTGATGAATAATTTAGATTTTTAAGAATATTTAGTGATTTTATTACAATTCATTATTTTATGAATATTTTAATTATCATTTTGTTTAGATGAATTTGTTCTAATATTTTTTTAAAATGAAGTTATTGAATTTTAATTTTTCATATTTTGAAACTAAGTTAATGTTTCCTGAAAATAATTTAGACTTTTAATTGCCATATATTAATTACCATATTTTTAGTAGGATTTGTTATAATATTATTTGTAGAATGAAGTTCTTTAATTTCATTTTTTATTATTTTAAAATTAAGTTAATGTTTACTAACAATAATTTAGACTTTGAAGAATATTTAGTGATTTTATTGTAGTTTATTATTTTATGATATTGTAACTATCATATTTTTTAGGATGGATTTTCTATAATATTATTTTTAGAATGAAGTTCTTGAATTTCATTTTTTTATATTTTGAAACTAAGTTAGTATTACTGAAAATATTTTTCTTATATGGATTTCTTGAAGTTGGTCAAGTTCAGACTTCTGGATATCACTACATCAGATAATGAGTAACATGGTTAGTGAGTTAAAACTTTTTAATTTTAGAATCATGTTGAATTATTTATTGTTATGATGAAGTCTAGTAATTGATAATATGCTTAAATATTTGATTTACAATGATACATATTGTTTGAAAAATGTTGAATTATTGATTTTACTGTCTTGTTGATAATTTAATTAGTATGTGTCTTGCTTGTTAAAAACTTTTTTACTGACTTTGAGGAGGATTCAATACCAATGCCTCCATATTAACCTTCCTGTGGACCCATTTCCGTGACAAAATGAGTACTCAAGGGTGGGAGCAGTTGTTCAAGGACGAGCGAGATCTTTACTTCGCACTTGGGGGTCATCATGACTAGTAGGAGATATTTGTAGTAGTATTGGTATATAACGACAATAGTTGTAAATAAGAAGTATTTTGTAACTCATCTTATCTTTATATTTGTAGTCTTTGGTAAACATAGTTTTAAATTAAAACTACCATAGTTCTAAACATACAAATAAAGTATCAAATGAACGACACTAGTACTCAAACAACAAATAAACAACATAGTTCTCAAACTACAAATAAACGACATAGTCCTCCAACAACAATTAAACGATTTAGTTCTCAAACTAGAAATAAACGACATAGTTCTCAAACACCAAATTAACGACATAGTTCTCAAAATACAAATAAACTACATAGTACTCAAACTACATGAACAACACTAGTACTGAGGTGGAGGCTGGATGGAGTCGCCTCGTCGTACTCTCTAAGCAACCCTTGTAATCCAAGAAGAAGATCAAGGTGGTCATCATAAGGGTGCTCAATCACAGTGCGAAACTCTCGGACGAGCTTCACAGCTAACTGTATAAAAATGTAAATGTTAGTATGTTATTCGATAACTAATGCAATATTTAAGCTTGTACAGAATAACAATATCAATAACATAATTAAACTTACCTGATCATGACTAAGATGGTGGTGTATCTCCTGGTCAGCAGCACTGGGGCAAACGATCCTCGGGTGGGTACGTCCCATATACCACTGTAGATACCCATCGTCGGTATCTTCCGGTTTTTGAACAGGTCTCGATATCGAATCCAACTGCACATAGTGGCAGTGAGGGGCCTTCCAAAGCTCACTCAAGCCGGGACCGTAGGACAAGGAGTACATATTGACATTCCCAGATCGGCAAACATCAACTGGAGGAAGCGGATATGAGGGGATGGTCCGTACGTACCCAAACTGACGGAGGCAACACGAGGGATCGTACATCTCCTCAACACTCATGCACCGAATGACACCAGAGTACAAAGAACGAGAGACCATCTCACCAGGTCTGAGGCCGAATGGGCACCAAAAAACGAACTCATCTGTCATATTATCCAGTACTCGACGATAGTGATCCAACCTCTCATTCATCAACTGTGCCCCACCTCCAAATCTCATCCCCTCCCACTTCTTAGCAAAAGGTTCCCCGCACACCAATCCACGTGTCCCCGACTTCTGATCTCGTAAACACGGGAAGTACTCATAGATCCAGCTCTGAAGGAGGGTCAAACAGCCACCCATGCCTTTGCAGTCCGCTCGAGACGCCATGCCGAGTTGCCTATACAAATAGGCGAGTGTAGCAGACCCCCAAGAATATTTCCTCACCCGTCTAGTGTCCCCCAAGAACTGGAGAGGCCAAACCTGTGCCCGATCCCCACTCCTGTCCACAAACAAGGTGGTCCCCAACAAACAGGTCAAGAACATCCGTACCTCAGAATCTCTTTCCCGAAACCTCCCAACCTGCTGCATAGCTTCAACACACACCAAACCCCCACTCTTAAGCGAAGGCTTGGATCGTTCATTCAATTGTTCGACCCTCAACATCTCACACAACTGTGCTTTCACACTCTCATTCCCTACAACCATATCTCCACCGACTGGAATCCCAAGCAACACTGCAACGTCGTGGAGCGTGATGGTCATCTCTCCAAAAGGCATGTGAAAGGTGTTGGTGTCAGGCTGCCACCTCTCCACAAATGCCACAAGTAAAGGTCCATCCAAGTGCTGGATTGAGCAGTCCAACAACTTGCGCAACCCTGTCCTCTCAACCAATGCTGCAGCACCCTCACTCTGAAATTTGTAATCTTTCAAATAATTGACTGCCAATGCTCTAGTCGACAACTTGAATGAATCAATTCTGCGAGCCCCTAAACCATCATCCCATAATCGATAATCCACATGACCTCCAAAACTAGGAATCAGGCTATGATCGATAGGCCCCCCGGCCCACTCCTGTCGAGAATCCACGAATCAGCTTCTCTCGCCTTCTTCCTCTTACTAGTGCTGCCCTCCTCCGAATCGGGTCGTGATGACTCAAAACGACCACGAGGCCCACGTCTAACATGAACAAACCGAGAGGACGAAGAAGACACAAAAGGAGCCTCGGGCTCTAATCTAGGTCCACTAGAACCACCTGCACTCGGATGGTTGCTCTCGAAGAAAGCATCATTTACATCCGGGAAGTCATCATAATTGTCATCACTGCCATGATACTCATCCACTCCCTCAAAGGCTCTATCTAAGTCAAAAGGCACGGGAGGCGGGGGAGAAGGATTCTCCACAAGTCTAGCACGTCGACGCTCATTCTCGGCTTCCTCACTACGCGACCTCAATACTATACGGTTGGTCACCCTCGACGGCTCTACCTCCTTCATCTTCTTCTTTCCTCTTGTATCCACCATTTTCTACCTATTAAAATTTGAATTAAAATTATTGTCAGATTATTATCATCATGTAATAGTTATTAGCAATGTTCATATTAGCAATATTCATATGATAATTGCTAGTTCCCATATAATAAATTTTTATATTCAAATGTTCAAGGTTCGTATATTTCTCTATTATAATTTAACATTCATATATAATTTCAATTATAATAAAATTATCATCACAATATAATGTTCGAAATTATAATGTATTTCACGATAAATTCTAACTTAATTTTCTTGCTTAAATTGTCTATTATAATTTAACATTCGTATATAATTTCAATTACAATAAAATTCCCATCACAATATAATGTTCAAAATTGTAATGTATTTCACGATAAATTCTAACTTAATTTTCTTGCTTAAATTGTCAATTGCAATTTAAGGTTCGTACAAAAATTAATACTTTTTATGAAATAAAATTTTATATTTAAATTATTAAACTTTCTTATATTTATCAATTAAAATTTACCTTTCCTATCTAATTTCAATTAAATGAAAACATTAACCGACATAATTTTCGTATATATATTAAATATTAACATATTTAAAGCAGATAATTAACCTACATAATTTAAGCAGATAATTAGAGTAATTAACCTACATTAAATCATAATAATTAAAGTATATAATTAACCTACATAATTAAAGGATATAATTAAAGTAAATTTTAAATTGATTTAAAGCAGATAATTAACTTACATTAAATCATAATAATTAAAGCATATAATTAACCTATATAATTAAAAGAGATAATTAAAGTAAGTTTTTAAATTAATTTAAATTAGATAATTAACCTACATTAAATCATAATAATTATAATAGATAATTAACCTAAGTTAAATTAAACGAAAAAAATAAAAAAAATAAATAAAAAATAAAAAACCGCCTTTTGACCGCCGCCGGCGAGAGCGACGTCCTGCCGAGGCGTTGCCGGCGACGGACAAACGTCCGGCCAGGACGTTCGTCCCTCGCCGGCGACGCCTCGGCAGGACGTCGCCCTTGCCGGGGCGGGTCAAACGGCCGGTCGTCACCTCCTTCGTGCAAAAATCAAACATTACCTCCGCGAAGCGCTCTGATTTCGTCTCCGGCGAGAGGTCGTCATCTCCGAGGAGAGGTGGTCGTCGTATTTGAGAGGAAACCGGCGACGGGGGAGATGGGGCGAGTCACGTCTCCAGCGAGAGCTCGTCGTCGCCGGCGAGAATATTTGGGAGGAATCCGACGACAGTTGAATTGGGAGAGAAGGGAGTGTTTGGTTGGAGTTGTAACAAGTTCAATATTTTCAAAGGAAGGAAAGGTAAAATAGTAATTACATTCTCCTAGGGCTACAAATAAAAAAAAGTTAGGGCTTTAAATAGCAATTCAGTTGCCAACTCCGCCAGTATGGTGGAACACAAATAAAAAAAATAATGTGGTGCCTTGCTTTATTGACTCGAGATGCTTCTTACAATACCCAGTTAACTTCTCCGCAGAGACTTCTTGAGGTTTTCGACCTCAATCACGTGCTTGATTGTGCGGGAGTGCATTGGGCTAAAGATAGAGTGAGGGACCGTCGATCTAGGGGACAAAGCCATCGTGTGTCTCAGATTAACGTGGGGTTGGGAAGGGCATTTTTGTCCCTTTTTATATTTTACATATACTTTAATTTATCCCACATTAATTGTATGACTTTTCAATGGAGGAGAGAAAAATAGTCTTTTTTTTTTCCGCAAAGTCAATTGTTATAAAATCAGCCACACAGAGAAAATAAAAAGAGCGCAAGAGTCAACCAATAGTCGAACTCCCGATGAGAGGGCCTTTTATGCCACATGATGGGCAGCCCTATTGAGACAGCGGAGAACAAAACAGTAAGAAACCCAACTAAAGAGAAAAGCCAAGCTCTGAGCATCCTCCAAGATAGTTTCATCCTGATCATGAGCCAAGTCACCTGTCTGAAGAAATCTCTCCAATATCGGGAGCTCTTCTGCGTGCCCCTTAAAAAAAAAAACAAAGCACACAAGCATCCCCACTGTAGGACAACTAAGCTCCACCAAATGGACTTAAACAAGCCATTAAGGCTTAGTCGAATACACCGAATCCAAAACTATGTCAAACTAATATATTTTTTTTAGGAATAGTTAAAGAAAAGCAATAAAATAAAACGAACGAAATTGTTAGATAAAATGAAAAAAAGGAGGGTAAGTAACAAAAGAAAACAAATAAAAATTACTAATAAATAATGAAGTAAATGTATAGCGGTTAATTAAAAAGATAAAGGAAATAAAAAATGACTAAATTGCAGTAATGTAAAAAAAATGAAAACTTAGGAGTCTGTTTGAGTTACTTACCTAGAGCAGTTACGCCATTCAAAAAAGGTGTGTAAATATAATTAATTAAAAAACACTACCAATTATTGCAGCAGATCTCACAAGACCCGACCGTTCAGTTACCCCAGGTAACCGCCGACTGACTTCTCTTCCATGCGCTGATGTAACCCTAGACCCCGGCGAAACTCATCGTGCGACGGCAAGCAACGGGAATAAAGGAACCGATCGAGGTAGTTGACGGCGAGATACGTCGTCAGGGGAGCGAAGTTGTAATACGCCCGGACCTTGAGAATCCATGCAACAGCTTCTTCACGAGCGAAGGCATCGAGAGACTGGGAGCGGAAGCGGGCCAAGTAGCGAATCCGGGCACAAACCGGTCCTCGCTCTCGATGAAACATGCGATGGATTCCTCCGAGCAGGATGACGACTCGATGTTCGACGAGCAATCCGCCGGCGACTCGCCGGAGAAGATCTCCGATGAGTCCGCCTCGCATAGGAGGTCCGAGAAGCAATCGGAATACGACGTCAGCGCCGACATGATGACTTGGGGTGCGGTTGTGGGTGACGACGGTTGATCATCCTCTGCTTGCCATTTTTATTTACGGTCTTTTGCTCGCCGGACTGAAGAGGCCTGCTAGGGAAACTGAAAGAAGGGGAAGGGGAAGGGGAAAAGGGGGAGTAGTCCATTATGCAACCTTTCCGTGCTCTAGTCTGTATATGTTTCCATTCATCCATTCATCTCCAGGTTCTTTTCACTCCCTATTGGCAGTCTGAACAACCTTTTTCGACAGCCCTTCCATTTACCATGCTGGAAAATAGTATTTTCTCTGCAACTCTTCTTTTTCTTGCTCTCTTCCTTTCTCTCTCTCAATCTCTTTCTCCCGATATAGATCTGCTCCCTTATCTTCTTCTTCATTCTTTTTTCCAACAAACGACGAAGAAAAATTGCAGCCACCCTCTTTCATTTTGTTTCTTCTCTTCATCAAATCGTTGGTGACAATTATGATATTTCTCCTTTTTTTTGACATTTGGTGTTCTTAATTGCGGAGGAAATGATACGAGAAGGAAGACAATTTTTTTTCTCTCCCTCCTTCTATTTTTTTTTCCTTTTAGGTAATATATATTGCTATTAGCACACTATACCATATGGTATTGTGTGGTAACCGACACCAATTTTGAGAAATTATATTTATATTATGTCGTAGAAGGTTGTAATTTGATTTATATATTTTTTATAAGGTTTTACCTTCTCCTACCATGTGGTATTGTATGGTAATTATAATTAATTTGTATTCATTCAATTTACCATTTTCTACTATGGTGGTATTGTATAGTAGTTAGATTTATAATTTTTGTAGCGTGTTTTTACCAAGTTATACTATGTGGTGATAGTTGGATTTGTAATATAATTTTAGCATGTAATACCATACGATATGATATGGTAATTAGATTTGTAAATTTTTGTAGCATGTTTTACTACATTATACCATGTGGTATTGTATGATATTTAAATTTGTAAAAATATTTAGCATGTTATACCATATGGATTTGTAAATTTCAGTAGCATGTTTTACCACGTTATACCATGTGGTATTTTATGGTAGTTAGATTTGTAATTTTCTTTAACATATTTTTACCACGGTAGTAGAAAGTGATAATCATATTCATATTTGTAATTACTGTCTTTAGCACTGAATTATTTTATGAAAAAAAATCATCATTCAATTTAAGTTGGAATTAGAACATAGATAGTTAGGATAGTTAGATTCATTTTTGTTGTAGATGGGAGAGAGAAGAAATAATGTAATTTTTTATTTAATAATAAAAGAATGAGTGAGAGAGGGGAACACGCGTTGGGCGGGGAGTGGAGTCCGCGTTTGGTCAAAAGTAAGCGTCAACGTGAGTGGGGATGAGTGCAATTTTACTTTATTACACCTCCATATTTAATTTACATGGAAAAAAAGACTAACACGTGGGTACAAGGGAAGGGATTACTGATTGGATCCGGACCAGGTTGGGAAACCGGTTCGGTAAACCTGAACTGAACAGAAACTGAAATAATGCTATTTGGTTCGGAATTACTCAACTGAACCAAAATTCCGGCAAAAAAACCGAATTACTATAATTGCATGTTCCAAATGGTGGATTTTTATGTTTGTAATTGTTTTTAAACTTAAATATTTGAATCGTGTTAGTGTTTTATGACTTTAAGTGTTGAAATATTTGATTTTATCATTGATGATGCATATAATTGCATATTTATTGTTTATATTAGGGGTAAAAAATAATTTAAAAGGGAGAAAATACAAGTAGCCTCACAAATTTGGTTTTGTGTGAAATTCCGAATCGAACCGAAACATAATTCGATTTAAGCAGAGCAAACCGAAATATAATTCGATTCGAATTCAGTTTGAGGTTTGGGGGAATTTGGGGACCCGGTATTCATAATTTCGGTTTGATCGAAACCGAACCGACTGAATGCCCACCCCTAGATCCGATCCCATCTAAGGGTTGAGAATTAAATACTTTTTATTTTCAATAATTTTCTAAATCAGCTCTTATTTTTTTCGTTCTAATTTGGATTTCAATTTTTTTTAAACAAATTGAATGAGTTTGTTGTGCTTTACAAAATGAGATCAAATTGAAATATTTTTCAATTTTTTTTTCATACCTCTCGTTACCAGCTAGGGATGGCAATGGGCTGGGTTGTGTCAGATTTTGCCAAACTCATGGGTATATCCGTAAAAAAAGTCGAGGTAAAATCCTTTGGGTTTGGAAAACTCAAACGCAACCCAAACCTATGGGTATCCGCAGGTTCATGGCCCTTGGATTTTTGTGATAAAAATTTATAATAACAAGTTACTATCAAAATAAAAGTAAAACATCAATTTCTCCATACAAATTATCCATACATAATACACTAGTGTAGAAAATTCAAACAAATCACAATTACACTAAATAAATGCACACAGTTCTTTGTTTTTTTCGTTCATTCCTTTTTTGTTTGCGAGAGAACAACAAACCAACAAACACGGTGTGTTCAACTTCAATTATTAGTTTATCTCTCCCACTTCTTTTGGGAAAAAGAAACATTACCTTGGTAAGAAATAAAATTAAGGTAGGGTTTGAGGAGAGTTAGATTGAGGAAAATTAGAATTAGGGTAGTGTTTGGGAAGAGCAGGGCCACATAATAAGTTTGAGCGGGTATTCCTAAACCCAAACTCAACCCGTAAACAGTGTATCGGGTTTAAACCCGAACTTGGCCCGAAACCCGACAACACGGGTTTTACCTGCCTTAACTGAGTTGGATCGAATAGGGTACCCGTGGGTTCGGGTTTTATTGCCATCCCTATTACCAACTCCATATCATATGATCTCTCCTTTGTTTTTTAAAATATTTGTACAGAAGGAACGAGTTTATCATGATCTAATGGATTTACAAATTTCCAGGTGAAAAAAATACATGAACAAAAAATACCATACTATACCACCATGGTATGTGGGTGGAACTTTGTGGTACACAATGTTAAAAAGTCGTAAATGACAGTTCGTATACTTCTACTATCATGTATTCAATCATCCTACAGTCTTGATATGTACATACCACCATGTTACGCTTTCATACTATATGATCTACTTTTATTAGATACCAATCAATACCATATGATACAGACCGATAAAAAATTACTTAATTTTTGTCCTCACTTGATAGCTTGCGGATATATGCCAATTGGTTTTAACTGATATTATTATAGAATTATAATATCATCGATATACACTATCGGTTAATATTTTATTATACAATAAAAATCTATTCCATTAACTGGTCTAATATGTTTTGTCCTGCTCTCTATTTCTGGAGTACTTGAACAAGACGACTGCATGCTTTCTTTCTAAAAGACAATTGGTAATGAATGGTCCGAGGAGTTGTGGAGGTGGCCAGCTAATGCAAGCAAATACTATACGTCATCCCCTCTCTGTTTCTCCTTAATCACTACCAACCCTACTAATTATTTGTCAGCCTCATGATTGGGCAGCCCCTTAACTAATCTCGTCTTCCTACGGAGACTATTAAGTACCTAATTAAGTTATAAATAATGCTGCTCAGAGTTAACCCAAATCACGATAACGAACATGGACACTTCTTAATTGACGGGTTTTGCATGGTATGGTATCATTGTGGTGGAGAAGTTAGACTGCTTGGTAGGTTTGCTCCCAGTGGTGTTGAATGGTTGAGCTACCGGTTTATAAGCAAAAATAAAGGAAAGCATAGTTTAGGACTTAGTGTTTAATTCAGCTGAACTGATACTATAATCAAACAAAATGATACAATACGCAGGAAAACCAGCAATAGGTATCCGCCATTTAAACTGCTTCTGCAGAAAAAAGTACAGAGTTAGTTATGAGACTGACCAAGGTCTAAGCTTACCAAGTGGTTGGACCAAATCCTCATTATGGTTGTGACTTAGTTCACGTTCTATAAACATTACTTTGTTTGACTCACTACCTAAGCTGCCACAAGGGCCAACAACAATTAGCTGCTACATGATGTCCTTCACCACTTCATGCAGTTACTATATAAACTCTTCCCTTCTTCATTCCCCTCCATCTCACCACAGCCATCTACACAACGAGTTAGCACCTCCCAACAAAAAGACACAATTCCAATGGAGCTTCTTCGAAACCAGAGGGCCAAGCCATCCTCTAGCAGCAGCCGGTTCGGGTTACTTGGTCTTCTTGCTGTCTTCATCTTTGGCTTCTTAGCTTCATTCTCCGCAGCGGAAGTTCACTACCATGAATTTGTTGTATGGCCTCGAGTATCTGTGTCTCTTCTCTTCATTGGTTACACATGTTACTTGCTCTTTATCTGTAGCTTATCGAATGTTCTTTGATGTTATGAACATAGATTGAAGCAAAACCAGTGAAGAGGCTGTGCAGAACTCATAGCACCATCACAGTGAATGGGCTGTTCCCAGGGCCAACATTGGAGGTTCGAAATGGTGACACCCTAGTCATTAAAGCCATCAACCGAGCTCAATATAACATCTCCCTCCATTGGTAAGTTCATCAAGCAAATATAACAACGTTCAATGATGACTCGTTTTCCCGCTATAACTTGAAAAACTCTTCAATCCTGTTGTTCTTTGTTCAGGCACGGAGTTAGGCAGCTCAGGAATCCATGGGCTGATGGTCCTGAGTATGTGACCCAGTGTCCAATTCAGCCTGGGGCGACCTACACTTACCGTTACACAATCCAAAACCAGGAAGGCACTCTATGGTGGCATGCACACAGCAGATGGCTCAGGGCAACAGTCTATGGGGCCCTAATCATCCGTCCCAAAATGGGTTCTCCGTATCCATTCCCAACCCCCAAGCGAGAATTCCCAATCATTCTTGGTAACAGGACGCAACATTGAGTTTCACCATTTCAATTCGTTTTCTTCACTCCAAATTATTTCTTCACGTCCAAGGAAATAATAACTCTTAAATCCATGACAGGGGAGTGGTGGGACAGGAATCCTCAGGATGTAAGGAAGCTGGCACTTTACACAGGAGCAGCTCCCAATTCCTCTGATGCCTACACCATTAACGGCCAGCCTGGTGATCTCTACAGATGCTCCAACAAAGGTTAGACTCTATCCACCCTGATCCCAATCTCTCCTTGTTCACTAACAGCTAAATTGACTAAAGAATTGGCAAAACCCTCTGCCTCTCGGGCCAAACTGCAGAAACCATGAAGTTCCAAGTGAATTCAGGTGAAACGATCCTGCTCAGAGTAATAAATGCTGCAATGAACCAAGAACTCTTCTTTGCTGTTGCCAACCACAAGCTCATAGTCGTGGAAGCTGATGCTTCTTACACCAAACCTTTCACAACTTCCGTCATAATGGTCGGTCCAGGCCAGACCACCAATGTCCTCCTGACAGCCGACCAGACCCCCGGCAGATACTACATGGCGGCTCGAGCCTATCAGACTGCCCAGAATGCTGCTTTCGACAACACAACAACTACTGCAATTCTTGAATACAAGAATGGGAAGCAGAAATCCTTCCTTTCAGCTCCAGTTCTCCCACAGCTTCCGGCTTTCAACGACACAAACACAGCAAGAGCATTCATTTCCCAGGTAAAGGGCCTTAAATCCAAGGGGAAAGTGCCTACCAAGATCGACAAGAGCTTGTTCTTCACAGTGGGATTGGGCCTCATTAACTGCACGAATCCAAATAGTCCACGCTGTCAGGGTCCCAATGGGACGAGATTCACTGCCAGCATCAACAACATCTCATTCGTGTTCCCCAGGAGGAATTCCCTGATGCAGGCGTATCTTCAGGGCCAGCAAGGCGTGTTCACCACTGATTTCCCTTCATCGCCACTAGTGAAATTTGATTACACGGGGAATGTGAGCAGAGGGCTCTGGCAGCCTGTTCATGGCACTAAGCTAGTTAAGCTCAAGTATGGTGCCAATGTGCAGATTGTGTTGCAGGATACTAGTATTGTTACGACAGAGGAACACCCAATGCATATCCATGGCTACAATTTCTACGTCGTGGGGATGGGTACCGGAAACTTCAACCCTGCAAAGGATCCTGCTAACTTCAACCTCATCGACCCACCTCATAGGAACACCATTGGAACTCCGCCTGGAGGATGGGTTGCCGTCAGATTTGTAGCTGACAATCCAGGAATATGGCTGCTGCATTGCCATATCGACTCGCATTTGACATGGGGCTTGGCGACGGCTTTGCTGGTGGAGAATGGAGTGGGGACATTGCAGTCTGTTCAATCTCCACCACTGGACCTGCCACGATGCTAAAGTGGATCATCAGGAATCAACAACAAAGGATCTATGCATCATATGTCAATTGAATCCGATTTTTTTTCTTATATCATCAAAAGGCAACTGCTAGATTATTTGACTTCCACGACTAGTGATTGGGGTTGGATTGTAAGCATCTAGATACATGTCAGTTTGGTTTTTCGTTTCTTCATTGAGTGGTGGTATCCTTTCATGTACTTGTCCCTAATGAAACCATCTATTATATTCACAACCCATTTGAGTAATATTCATGGAGAAACCATCAGCTCGTAGTCGTGATAGGGCAAAAGTGAGTTCCAAAGTTCCATACTTTGCTCCTAGAATATTCATCAAATCATTCCGACTTCTTATTTGTAAAGGAGCAATTTTCCCCCAAGAGAAAATCTGCTATGCAATGCATCGCATATCTGTCCAAAGGATTTACTTAGCCACGAGCTAAGGAGAACCAAATTAAGATGGAGAATCAGTACCTCTCTGCTTGTTTCCAAACTTGGGCAGCGGAATTTCGGGCAGTGTTTGTTCTTGTTCATGGTACCGCAACCGCTACCTGCCAGCTGAAGAAGAAGAAGAAGAAGAAGAGGAAGAAAGGAGATTTCAGTTGCTAGATTCCTCTGTCTCTTCTGTGGCAGTCAACCAAGACGATATGGGAATTGGGAACAATAAGTAATTGAAGAATTATCGGGTTAATTACAAAATAGTCACTGAACTTTTGGAGACCTTCCCAAACCCATACAAAACGAGGGATTGTTTGGAACTTCCTCAAGCCAAGCACCGCCTGAGCTATGAGCTACCTCCTTCTGCCAAACTTGTCGTACCAAAAGTTGATAATCCCCACTAAAATTTACAAACGTATAACCACGTGTTAAACACCAGGAAATTGCATCTTGTAATGCCAATAAATCCATCAGGAATTAATCAGTAATGTCGGATAACTAGTTTTGTGTCCGACCTGTCGGTCGGAATGTCATTTGTATATGATGTATTTAATATGTACATCCGGATGTTTTCAAAATATTTGAAATGTGTATTTCTATCAAATAGTTAAATTACTTGTTAAAATCAAATTAAATATGAAAATATGAAAATATGAAAATTGAAATATCAAAAACCAAAGAAATACTTACGGAAGAGTTAGTGGGCTAGTTAACCATAGTGGAAATGTCATATGTTTTTAAGATTTTAAATTTAAAAAGATACATCAAATTCATTTAGTGTAATTGGTAATGATTCATGTCTTTATTTAAATAGACCATAGTTAAAATCCTAGGACTGATGTATTTTTCATATGAATAAGACAAATAATTGTAAAGACAAATCTAACCTTTCTATTTTCGCTCCCATTAGAGAAAATTTAAAATACTAAAAACTACCACCAATTCGACTATTATATATTTGTTGATGTTAGTGGAAAGCAAATAATAGTGTCTCGTTAGCAGAACCCCTAGCAAATCCACTAATATCGTTGCTCGGGCACCATGCCCCATTGAAACGAACCAAAATCCCACCTTGTAGCAGGAGTCATCTTGTTTTTATATGAGATAAATCCGTCTTATGACGGAAAACACCTACCCTCGTAACAACTGGCAATACTCCTGAGCAGTTAGATCCAGATTTAGAACCGTCTAAACAAAAGTCGTGCGCCTTTACCACCTCCACCACCCGTAAGTGGTTCATCTTAATTTTTAATCAATAAGTTAAATATAGGGTTAATGCCATATTTGGTCACTGTGATTACTAACTTGTGTCATGTTTAGTCACTAGAAAAAGTTAAATATCAAATTTGGTCACTATAATTACTAAAATAGGTCATATTGAGTCACTCTCCGTTAGTCTCCGTCCAACTCCGTTAGTGGAGTCCGTTAAGTGCTGACGTGGCTAACGGATGCGCCTAATCAGCGTCGTTTTGACCCAAAAATCATCAGACCCGACCCGCCACATCAGTTTCACCCGCCATGTCATACACCAACCCAACCATGAACCCAACCCGATCGAAAACCAAACTCTAACCCACCTAACAAAAAAAAAAAAAAAAGGAAAATCATTTGGTTAGTGGCCATTTTCAAACCAAAACCCTTCTCCTTCCTCGCAAACCTGCTCCTTCCTCTAGGTTCAGCCATTTTCAATCGAACTCCAGGGAGAGATGAAGACCTCCACGCTACCCCCTTGTCCTAGATCCTCCTTCCATTTTGCATTTCTTCTTCTTCTTCTTCTTCTTCTTCTCCGTCGCCGCGCGCCGTCAGTTTTCGCCATCGCAGTAAAAGGCGAAACCCTCAAATCCACCTTCGTCGTGCACCGTCGTCGTCTTCCCCCAGGGTGCGCCGGCGTCAGCTTTCCCCATCGCGCGCCGACAGCCCTGGTCAAAACCCTAAATCGATTTCCCCATTGCGCGAGTTCAGTTTCCCCCTGTCGCGCTCCGGCTCTCTTCTTCCCCGATGGTAAACGTAAGTGGTTTCTTTGCTTTTTCTGGTTGTAAGCTAGTCTAAAAACTCTAGAAAAGGGGAATCAATTATGGAAAGGGGTATGTGCGTTTGATTCTCTTTGCACAACCTTCCATTATTACAGCTGTAGATGGTCTATACTTAAGCTAGTTGTTTGATGTATCTCGAGCAGGTTTGCGAGGAAGTAGAAGGGTTTTGGTCTGAAAATGGCCACTAACCAGATGATTTTCCAATTTTGTTTTGTTAGGTGGGTTAGGGTTTGGTTTTGGGTCGGGTTGGGTTAATGGTTGGGTTAGAGTATGACATGGCGGGTGAAACTGACGTGGCGGGTCGGGTCTGATGATTTTTGGGTCAAAACAGTGCTGACTAGGCGCATCCGTTAGCCACGTCAGCACTTAACGGACTCCACTAACGGAGTTGGACGGAGACTAACGGAGAGTGACTCAATATGACCTATTTTAGTAATTGTAGTGACCAAATTTGATATTAACTTTTTCTAGTGACTAAATATGACGCAATTCAGTAATCACAGTGACCAAATATGTCATTAACCCGTTAAATATATTTAACTTATTCAATATTCCAAAAATACATAACCTTGTTACCATTGGAACGCTGTGTTCCACTCCTGCTCTAAACCCTTTACCTTTATTTGGACACACACAAAAAAAAACCCACACCCCACTCTTAGTGTACGATTTGTAGATCGGCATATCAATAGGTTAGCCCATTTAATTGCTCGTAAAGCCCTTTTTTATACTCTACTATAAGTCGTTTATTTAATTTTCAAGGCTGATTACATTCCAGAATGTAACTATCTATTCTTTAAATCAATATATGATTATTTTTGTAAAAAATAAAAAACCCTTAGCCCCCTTTCATTCCCAATTCCTATTTCCAACCCTGCGCATCACAGCTCTCTGCGAATTCCCTATCTTCTGCCGGCCGGCGGCCCCTCCTTCTGTCCTTCAAGCTTCCAACCAAGTTCCAAAGTGCTGCAAATAGGAACCCTAATTTGCAATTTTAGGATGTTTTCGTCTTTCCAATTGTAATGACCCAATGTCTATAAGGAGTTAATTGTAATATAGTATAGTGTGGGTATCAATTTGTAATTAGTATGTCATATAAATAGGGCTGTGTTGTAACGAGAAAGGTATCGAATAACAGAAATCAGTTTGTCAATCTTCTTCTTCCTATACTCTGCCTTCTCCCTTCTTCTCCTGCTTCTGTTCTCCCTCTTCTTCTCAATCTCTCTTCCTTCTCCTATAATTCTCCTTCTGATTCTCCAATTGAGATCTCCATTCCATTCCTTTGATCGATTAACTCGCTGAGAAGATCCAGTTCCGACTCCGACTGCTACAAATTGGTATCAGAGCCTCTTCTTGGCAAAATGACAATGATCATCACGACATTGGACGGTATGGCAGACCGACTGGAGCGCCGCTTCGATCGTTTGGACGAATTACTTGACCAAGTCTTCTTGCGTTTGCGGAGCCGCGCCGACCTAGATTTGCGGCCGTGGTTTCCGTCGCCGGGGAGCAGTTACCTTACCACAATTATGCTCAGGCAGACCATCCGCCATCTGTTCGCCGCAATGCCGAGCTGAAGAGTTCTACAGCGACGACTCTTACCACCTCCATGTTTTCGCCTTCCGCCAATCCGGCTCACACCGCAGGCGCCATTCACCGTCACACTTACGGTAACTTTCCCTTTGCTGAATTCCCCTCCTTCAATGGCGATAATCCTAGAGTTTGGATTAGGAAGTGTGAGGACTTGTTTGCTGAGTATGGAATTCCAGACAAAGAGAAGGTTAGAATAGCTGCGGATTATTTGGAATATCGTCCAGATATTTGGTTCGAAGGATGGAGGTATGGTCGTAGGGAATGGGTGTGGGAAGAATTTGCCGATGCCCTATGGAAGCGTTTTGGATGGGTCAATGCTGGTGGTTTTGCACTTGCTCCTTCACAGCATCTTGATGATCACTCAATTGAGTTAGAGGTTACAGAAGCATCTAAGCTCTCTCATTCCCTATTGCCAGCTGCTGAATTTTCTACCCCTGAACCTGCAATCTCAAAGGACGTAGAGGTTATCAAGGTTACTGGAAGTGGAAGTGAGCAGGTAGACCACAAGAATAACCTACAGTCACCAGAAGAAGCTGTGATAGTTCATATGGTATCCACTTCAAAGTCTAAACCTCTTCCTCGTCCAGCCTTTCTTGTTGGGGATAGACTAATGGTGACTGATGAATCTCAGGCAATGGATGTACTCACCACAAGCACTCAGTTTGGGAAAGTGGTATCGAAGCAAGCTTGGCCGAGTGATGCTAGTACAACCTTCCGGGTGGTTAAGAGACATCAGCAAAAGGCTAGTTGTTTGGTGTTTCCTGTGTCAAGGGGGTTGCAACATTATGACTTCCCTATTGAAGTGGCAGACACTTTTAACTTGAGAAGAGATTATGGGTATCAGATTTATCCCACCTACTATGGTGTTGGAGTTATTTCTCATGTCAGTAGTAGTGATCCTGATTTTTGTGAAGCATATAAAGCTGCTTTTCCGAACTCACAACTTACTACTGCAAATGCTCGGAATGGAACTATGGTGGCTCCACCATTCCCCTTCGTATTGACGGAAGATGGTGAAGATTTAAGTGCAGCAGACAATGTAAAACTTGAAGATCAAAAAGCTGCTTCTTTGCTTGGAATTGCAGACACCTATATTAAGTTGTTTGACCCGGGTGGAGCTGGGTTACCAAGTGATTTCATTGCTACTGGATCACCTCGCAAGCTGTACATCTCATGTGATTTTGAGGTTGACGACAACTACTGTTATGCCGTGGTATCTAAGGGCAGGGGTGATTGTCCCAATTTTAAAGGACCATATAAGGATATTCTTGCAAGCCAAGCTGTTCTCAGGGACAGGTTTAGTGGGTGTCTATAGAAGCTTTGGATTTCAATGGCTGTAGTGGAAGTAATTTGAGGGTTGTTCAGCATTGTGATGTTGTGACGAGTGTTCTTTTGGTGTGCTGCGAAATGGTGGGCATGATGACTGATGGGAAGACTTGGTATAATGTTTCCAAGGTGGCTGCGGTAGTATTGAAGAAGGTGGTTGGAGTTCATGACTATGGTAGAGAACTCAATTCTCCTGTCAGGATTATGTGGCCTGAAGTATTCATTTGTGCTTTTGTTCAAGACTGCAGACTGGTTCAAAATGTTGGAGAGTTTGTTGCCACCGGTCCGGTAGTCTCTTGTTCTGGATTCAATAAAGGTTTTAACCGTGGAAAGGTGTCGACTATTGTAATCCTTGAAGGGCTGAGACTTACTACAAATGTTGCTATGAGAAGAGCTCCTTCGGTAGTGTATCAATTTCAGTTGTTTTCTGATCTTGCTTCTGAGTTCTGTGTGCATGAAGTTCTTTCTCATGGAAGGGGATTGCCCGAGTTTAAAGAACCCAGCAAAGATGGAGTAGAGGACATCAACCATGAAGAAATTCTTGACCGGGAATCTGTAAGATCTTGGGGGTTGTATGGCAGCAGTAGTTCCAAGCCTCTCAAGGAGGATTGTGGGACTGTGATGATGTTGTTTGCTACTGGTAATGGTGGGTTGTCAGGTCAGGAGTGTTATGTGATTTTCTCGCACGGAAGGGGCATTGATCCTGACTTTAGAGAGCCATATAAGGAGCTTATCACTACTGGGGAAGGGATTATGGATTGGTGGTGATTCATGAAACCAATACAACTTGGTAGCCATCCAAACGCAAGAATCGACAGTTGCAGCTCATTTCCTTTTGTTTGTAGCATTTCATTGTTGGCTTGTTCATTGTTTTGATTGTTTCAGCCTTGAGGACAAGGCTATTCTCAAGGGGTTGGGATTTGTAATGACCCAATGTCTATAAGGAGTTAATTGTAATATAGTATAGTGTGGGTATCAATTTGTAATTAGTATGTCATATAAATAGGGTTGTGTTGTAACGAGAAAGGTATCGAATAACAGAAATCAGTTTGTCAATCTTCTTCTTCCTATACTCTGCCTTCTCCCTTCTTCTCCTGCTTCTGTTCTCCCTCTTCTTCTCAATCTCTCTTCCTTCTCCTATAATTCTCCTTCTGATTCTCCAATTAAGATCTCCATTCCATTCCTTTGATCGATTAACTCGCTGAGAAGATCCAGTTCCGACTCCGACTGCTACACCAATCCCCCTCTCACACACACATTTACTTGTCAATTTGCAATTGATGATTGAATTGAATAAATTCTGTGGTAGATTGTGGTTTCATTTAGCTAATTTGGTAGAAGTAAAATAAAATGTCGATGATATGATTTTAGACATGGTTCGTTATAAATATAATATTGTAAACCTTATGAATAGATTTTTTATAATCTTTATTTAATATTATATTTTATCAACGACACATCTCTTCGACAATAGTTCCGCCATTGCAATTGCTAATGCTACATTTACAAATATTCATATTTCTCAAATCTCTACATTTAAGCAAATGAGTCATGTAAACTATTTAAGATCACTTACCATAAACTACTATCCACTAATGCAAGCATATACTATACGCCATCCCCTCTCGGATTCTCCTTGATCTTTACCAAACCAATAAATTATTTGTCAACCTCGTGATTGGGCAGCTGGGGCAACCCCTTAACCAATCTCTTCTTCCTGTGGAGACTATTAAGTACCTAATTAAGTATAATTAACCCTGATCAGCAGTAACCCAAATCACGATAACGAACATGAACACTTCTCAATTGAGGGGTTTTGCATGGGATGGTATCATTGTAGGGGGGTTTGCTCCCAGTGGTGTTGTGGTTGCCTGAATGGTTGAGCTACCGGTTTAAAAGCAACAGGTATCAGCCAATTTAAACTGCGTCTGCAAAAAAGTACAGAATTAGTTATGAGACTGACCAAGGTCTAAGCTTACCAAGTGGTTGGACCAAATCCTGATAATGGTTAAGACTTGATTTATGTTCTATAAACAATACTACTTTGTTCGACTCATTACCAAAGCTGCCACAAGGGCCAACAGCAATTTTGAACTGCAGTTAGCTGCTACATTATGTCCTTCAACATTTCATGCAGTTACTATATAAACACTTTCCTTATTCCTTCCCCTCCATCTCACCACAGCCATCTACACAACGAGTTAGCACCTCCCAACCAAAGGAAACGATTCTATGGAGCTTCTTCGAAACCAGAGGGCCAAGCCATCCTCTAGCAGCAGCCGGTTCGGGTTACTTGGTCTTCTTGCTGTCTTCATCTTCGGCTTCTTAGCTTCATTCTCCGCAGCGGAAGTTCACTACCATGAATTTGTCGTATGGCCTCCAGTATCTGTGTCTCTTCTCTTCAATGGTTACAACATGTTACTTTCTCTTTGTCAGTAGCTTATAGAATTTTTCTTTGATGTTGTGAACATAGATTGAAGCAAAACCAGTGAAGAGGCTGTGCAGAACTCATACCACCATCACAGTGAATGGGCAGTTCCCAGGGCCAACATTGGAGGTTCGAAATGGAGACACGCTAGTCATTAAAGCCATCAATCGAGCTCAATATAACATCTCCCTCCATTGGTAAGTTCATCAAGCAAACATAACAAGGCTCAATGATGACTCATTTTCCTCCACAACTTAAAACACTCTTCAATCCTGTTGTTCTTTGTTCAGGCATGGAGTTAGGCAGCTCAGGAATCCATGGGCTGATGGTCCCGAGTATGTGACTCAGTGTCCCATCCAGCCTGGAGCGACCTTCACTTACCGCTACACAATCCAAAACCAGGAAGGCACTCTATGGTGGCATGCACACAGCAGATGGCTCAGGGCAACAGTTTATGGTGCCCTAATCATCCGTCCCAAAATGGGTTCTCCATATCCTTTCCCAACCCCCAAGCGAGAATACCCAGTCGTTCTAGGTAACGAGCACAACATTGAGTTTCACCATTTCAATTCGTTTTCTTCACACCAAAGTATTTCTTCATTTCCAAGGCAATATAACTCTTAATCCATAACAGGGGAGTGGTGGGACAGGAATCCTCAGGATGTAAGGAAGCTGGCACTTTACACGGGAGCAGCTCCCAATGTCTCTGATGCCTACACCATTAACGGCCAGCCTGGTGATCTTTATAGATGCTCCAACAAAGGTTAGACTCTTTCCTCATTGATCTCAATCTCCCCTTGCTCTTCACTAAAAGCTAAATTGACTAAAGAATTGACAAAACCCTCTGCCTCTCGGGCCAAATTGCAGAAACCATGAAGTTCCAAGTGGATTCAGGGGAAAAGATCCTGCTCAGAGTAATCAATGCTGCAATGAACCAAGAACTCTTCTTTGCTGTTGCCAACCACAAGCTCACAGTCGTGGAAGCTGATGCTTCTTACACCAAACCTTTCACAACTTCTGTCATAATGGTCGGCCCAGGCCAAACCACCAATGTACTCCTGACAGCCGACCAGACCCCCGGTAGATACTACATGGCGGCTCGAGCCTATCAGACTGCGCAGAATGCAGCTTTTGACAACACAACCACTACTGCAATTCTTGAATACGATTCTGCTCCTTGCAATGCCAAGAACGGGAAGCAGAAATCCTTCCCTTTAGCTCCAGTTCTCCCACAGCTTCCGGCTTTCAACGACACAAACACAGCAAGAGCATTCATTTCCCAGGTAAAGGGCCTTAAATCCAAGGGGAAAGTGCCTACCAAGATCGACAAGAGCTTGTTCTTCACAGTGGGACTGGGCCTCATTAACTGCACGAATCCAAATAGTCCACGTTGCCAGGGTCCCAATGGGACGAGATTCACTGCCAGCATCAACAACATCTCATTCGTGTTCCCCAGGAGGAATTCCCTGATGCAGGCGTATCTTCAGGGCCAGCAAGGCGTGTTCACTACTGATTTCCCTTCATCGCCACTAGTAAAATTTGATTACACGGGGAATGTGAGCAGAGGGCTCTGGCAGCCGGTTCATGGGACTAAGCTAGTTAAGCTCAAGTATGGTGCCAATGTGCAGATCGTGTTGCAGGATACTAGCATTGTCACGACAGAGGAACACCCAATGCATATCCATGGCTACAATTTCTACGTCGTGGGTATGGGTACCGGAAACTTCAACCCTGCAAAGGATCCTGCTAACTTCAACCTCATCGACCCACCTCATAGGAACACCATTGGAACTCCGCCTGGAGGATGGGTTGCCGTCAGATTTGTAGCTGACAATCCAGGAATATGGCTGCTGCATTGCCATATTGACTCGCATTTGACATGGGGCTTGGCGACGGCTTTGCTGGTGGAGAATGGAGTGGGGACATTGCAGTCTGTTCTGTCTCCACCGCTGGACCTGCCACGATGCTAAAGAGGATCATCAGAAATCCACAACAAAGGATCTATGCATCATATGGCAATTCAATCTGAAATTTTTCTTCTCATCAAAAGGCAACTGCTAGATTATTGGGTTTGGATTGTAAGCATCTAGATACATGTCAAGTTTGGTTTTTCGTTTCTTCATTTTGTGGTGATATCCTTTGATGTACTTGTCCCAAATGAAACCATCTATTATATTCACAACCCATTTGAGTAATATTCATGGAGAAATGAGCAGCTCATGGCAGGGCAAGATGAGTTCCAAAGTTCCATACTTGAACTGAATAGATCCATCAAATCATTCAAATTTCCTATTTCTAAAGCAGCAACTCCTTCTCAGGAGAAAGTCTGATATGCAATGCATCGCAGGTCTGTCTAGGATTTACTTAACCGCGAGCTTAAGGAGAACAACATAAAGATGGAGAATCGATACCTCAGATATTTGGCTGAGATACCGAGCTGGCTCAGATATTCGCCGTTCATGGTAGGGCAACCGGTATCTGCCAGCTGAGCGAGAAGAAGGGATCGCCGCTTGCTTGCTAGATTCCGCATTTCCGCCGTCTCCTCTGCGGCAGTTGACGAAGTATAGTGGAAAAGAATTAAATAGTTCGAGTAAATGAAGAATTAGAGGGTCAATTACTGAAATAGTCACTGAACTTGTGGGTCACATACGAATCGGTCAATATAATTTGATCATTAACGAGATTGTCACTGAAACCTGGATGACTAACACTAGGTGATTTCAAGATTTCGACGATAATTTTTTTATATAACTCAACTGATTTGTTAGCGGATTCAAAGTTTATTCTATATAGTTGAACCAACAATGTCATAAATGAATTCAATCAAGTCCCACTAGTTAAAACATGTCTAAACTAAATCCAAGTGGTTTATTTAGATACATGTACAACATATAACTTTGATGATATCTCTCTATGTTGGTTCGATTTGATCCTAATATCGGTTCGGTATAGATCGGATCATTCGTCCTCACCCCTATTCTGAGCTATCTACCCCAACAATTTACCATGCAACCTTTTAATTTGTCAAACATGTCCTAGTCTACCATGATATTATACAACAATGCACGTTCCAAAACCTAATTATAGTAATAAATGTTGCAGAAGAAGAAGGTGGCCAGTTGATCATTACAACGAACTTGAACGATTTCAGGCACTACAGCTACTTTTCATCATCATTATTGTGTAGAAGTTGGACGTGAATTTCTCCAAATAGGCATTTGCAGTTACATGGATGGTTGAGCTACCACTTGTTCATCTGTTGAATAATTTCCCCTGCTAGATCACTCTCTCTCCTCTCTCTCTCGACCATCACTTTCTTCTATCCCGTCTACTCCATGACCAGTTACATGTGCAGATAGGTCAACAGTACACTTAACTGATTAACATTTCCTTCCCAAAATAATGATTTTCTTAAGAGTAAACAGTCATGATCTCACACCAGGAAAGTCTCTGTTTTACTAGAGTATTTACTTTGAAAGTCCTCTTATTTTTCCTAAGGCAATTCAATCAGAAAACAGTTTATCGCCCGTGTGGGCGACCTAAAGATCTCAAGTTCGATCCCCCACGTCCCTGGTGATCAGGTTAGAGTGTCCTAGCCATACTTGTCAAGATGATAAGGTCCTTGTGCCATCCTCTCAATAGCTCATTGATGGCTCTTAACAATCGAAATGTGTCAGGTCAGCATTTTCGCGTTCTGACGATCTTAAGGTCTCAGGTTCCATCTCCAACATCCCTGATGACCAGGTTGAAGTGTCTTAGCCATGCTGGTAGGATGATCAGGTCCCCGTACCACCCTCCTAATAGCCCATTCATGGTCCTTAACGACCGAACATGTATCGGGTTGCCATTTAGAGGAGTGTCTTAGTCCTGCTTGCAGGGTGATCAGACCCTCGTGCCATTCTCCCATTAGCTCATCCATGACGCTTAATGATCAAGCTGTGTCGGGTTAACAACCTCTAAGGGATTCCTTGTCATAAAAAAAATTAAAAAAAAACTCCATTCACAATTGAAATACCATCATAAGATTCATGAAAATTTGGACTCGTTAAATTACCACATACAATCATATAATTGATTGTCAATTGTATGCTGAAATATTCATATATTTGAATTCATAAAAACTGGTATGCATGCTGACCAACTCAGTACGGACATGTGCGCCAGCTGAACAACAAACTACGAGATTTTGTTATTGAACGAACTAAGCTTACTTAGTGGGTGCACCAAATCGTTGATTATAGTTATGACCAACTTCATGTTTTTCCCTCTCTGCAACTGTTAAACAGAAGAACCCTCTCCGAGTCACCACCTAAGCTCCCAAACAAAAGAATTTTAAAGGCCGTCTGAGTAAGTGCATGCTTCACTATATAAACACTTCACCCTCGTCTTCTTCATCCACAGCAATCCAACCATCCAAACCCATTAACCATTACCATAAACAAAATCCGTTCTGTCGACATAGCAGCGACGATGGTGCTTCTCCGAAACCCGTCAAAGCAATCCTCTGCTTGCTTACTTGGCCTGCTAGCCGTCTTCACATTCGCATTCTTAGCTTCATTCACTGAAGCTAAAGTTCACTTCCACAAATTTGTTGTACGTGTTAATAACGCCTTTTCTCACCTTCGTTTCACTTCTGCTATTTGGTCTGTTCAAAATGTAAGTATGGAATTATAATGAATGAACTGAAACAGATCGAAGCAAAACCAGTGAAGAGGTTGTGCAGAACTCATAGCACCATCACAGTGAACGGCCAGTTCCCAGGGCCGACATTGGAGGTCCGAAATGGCGACACACTAGTCATCAAGGCCATCAACAAAGCACAATATAACATATCCCTCCACTGGTAAAACTAGTCGACTCAACATCACAGCTTCATCGTGAACAGCGTAACAAGATATTCCTTTCATGATAACTCAGAACCTTCTGTACGTTGTTCTTTGTTCAGGCATGGAGTGAAGCAGCTACGGAATCCATGGGCCGACGGTCCAGAGTACGTGACTCAATGCCCCATCCAGCCAGGGAGGAGCTATACTTACCGTTACACACTCGAAAACCAGGAAGGCACAATGTGGTGGCATGCTCACAGCAGATGGCTCCGAGCCACCGTCTATGGTGCTCTCATCGTCCGTCCGGAAAAGGGATCTCGGTACCCTTTCCCCATGCCAAAGAGAGAATTCCCTGTCATGCTAGGTATACTGCAACATTCAGTTTCCTACCAAGTTCCTTCTTCTTCTTCCATACTTCTAAGTACTGAACTTATTCAATGAACTTGCAGGGCAGTGGTGGGATAGGAATCCGCTGGATGTTCTGAAGCAGGCACTTTTCACTGGAGGAGCTCCGAATGTGTCAGATGCCTACACCATTAACGGCCAGCCAGGCGATCTCTACAGATGCTCCAACAAAGGTGGAGTCTCTACCCCCAATCCCAATCTTTCTTTGGTTTTTTTGCTAATAGCTGAGTTAACTAAAGAGATGGCAAATCGCTGCAGAAACCATGAAGTTCCCAGTGAGAGCAGGAGAAACGATTCTCCTTAGGATCATCAACTCGGCATTGAATCAAGAGCTGTACTTTGCAGTGGCAAACCACAAGCTTACTGTCGTGGAAGCCGATGCTTCGTACACAAAACCCTTCACGACTTCTGTCGTGATGGTGGGGCCTGGCCAGACGACCAATGTTCTCCTGAAAGCTGACCAATCCCCTGGTCAGTATTACATGGCAGCTCGAGCTTATGAGAGCGGCCAGAATCAAGCTTTCGACAACACCACCACAACTGCGATCCTGGAATACAAGTCTGTCTCGAGCAGACCTCCGCTTCTTCCTCAATTACCGGCCTTCAATGACACCAACACTGCCAGTGCATTCGCTTCCCGGGTGAAGAGCCTCAAATCCAAGGCGAACGTACCAACCAAGATTGACAACAACTTGTTCTTCACGGTAGGGCTGGGCCTTATCAACTGTACCAATCCCAACAGTCCTCGTTGCCAAGGCCCGAACGGGACCAGATTGGCCGCCAGCATCAACAATGTGTCTTTCGTGTTTCCCAGGAGGAATTCCCTGATGCAGGCATACATTCAGGGTCAGCATGGCGTCTTCACCACCGATTTCCCTCCCACGCCTCCTGTGAAGTTTGACTACACCGGAAACGTGAGTCAGGGGCTCTGGCAGCCTACTCGTGGGACGAAACTTCTGAAGCTCAAGTTTGGCGCCAGAGTACAGATTGTGCTGCAGGATACTAGCATCGTGACGGCGGAGGAGCATCCTATGCATCTCCATGGCTACTCTTTCTATGTTGTTGGGATGGGTACTGGAAACTTCAATCCATCAACTGATCCTGCTAAATTCAACCTCATTGATCCACCTTACAGGAACACCATTGGTACCCCGCCTGGCGGATGGGCTGCCATTAGATTCGTGGCCGATAATCCAGGTCTATATCACGAGCTAAAAGCCAACTTTCCATGTTTACCTCCTTCCAATTTCCTCCATGTTCTTCAAACTCATCTGACTCTGATTTTGGTGGGAACAGGAATCTGGCTGCTGCATTGCCACATTGATTCACATTTGACTTGGGGCCTGGCCACGGCTTTGCTAGTCGAGAACGGAGTTGGGCTGCTGCAGTCTGTGCAGTATGCACCACTGGATCTACCCCGATGTTGAAGACTTCAACTGGAACTTCTTCTCCTTAACATTATTTGGTTACTATTGCTACTGATTGGCTTGGATTCTCAGAATCTATATATTTGTTTGTTTGATTTCTTTAGTTACGTGTTTTATAGTTGTATACTTGCTTTCTCTCTCTCTTGTCAATGAAACCATCTGGTACTCATTTCCAGAGGTGGTAGCATACCAGCATTGGTCTTCTGTTTCAGAATGCTGTACTATTGGGTTCTGTAGTCACAAGTGGAAATCAATAGCTAATAAGTAAAATTCAAAGTTAGCCAGCCCCAAATCACGGTAGATATTCATCACGTCATTCCAGTTTCATATGTACAAACAGCAATACTCATTTTCATTGCTTTTAACCTTAGGCCACAAATTTGAGACAACGAGTATCGTCATGTATGGTCTGGCAACGAATAGAACAGAAACGCATACCACACCTCACGCATGTATAGGTGGAAGCGAACCCACAAACGGTACAGAAATGTCTGCGGCATGTTGAATTTGGTGGCCCAACTGCTGCTCTCAAGTAAGATGGAACTTGGGGTGGCAAAGACTCCAGATTTGCCTGTTAAGAACATCAAGGTCACTTGTTCAGAGAACTGATTGAAGGTTAAAAAATAGCACATGAAGACAAAGTCATTACGCAATGGTTACCTCGTGTAAGAGCTCGAGAAAGTTTCTTGGTGGCTTCCTAGCATTCTCAAGTGCCTTCGCTTGTCGAGTTTTGCGTTTAGTACCCTTGGCCTTCTTTTGAACATATCCTGAGACAGGCGATGGAAGAACCTTAATAATGCAGCGGAAAAAAAAAAAAACAATAGACTGAAGGCAAGATCGACTTTGTGTATGATAAGGATCAGGAGTCCAAATCGAAAAAATGAATCTTAAGTTACTAAATAGGACCATTTTAGAAGTTGGAAATGTATCCCATCCCTGCTGAACTGAAATGTTCAAACGAGACAGGTTGGTGCAAAGGACGAGCCCAACATCAAAATTATCTGGACATTCAGAATAGCCAAGTAGACCTGGAGAACTCTAATTGCTGAAGGAGCATTTTGCTAGAAAAGAGATCATCAGGGAGACAGTACAAGAAAGAGGAACTAAGTAGCAGCCTAGTGCTGAAGTATTCTCAAATGATGCCCAGGATCTGGATAGAACCATAAAAAAAAAAAAAACTACTTTCTTTTTCTGGCTGTCTTCAACATCCCTTCAAACTTTAGTAGCCAAGTAGGACAAGCAAGACAAAACCCAGGCATAAATCCGAAATCCATGATGAAGTGAAGAGCACAAACCTTCATCATCATCGTCAAGAGAAGCCTCGTCGTCATCAATAGGTTCTACTGTTTCCAGCCCTGCATTATCATTCTCCAATGCTTCGAGACGAGCAAGAGCCGCCTGTAAATAACAGATTCAACAGGAAAGCAAACAATCATGTCTACTGGGTAACCTCGTAAGAACACAAAACTTAATTCAAGCTCTTAATACAAATGTTTTATAAAGCTCACTGCACACCTGAGTACGATTATCTGTGCTGGCAAGGGCTGCGACCATCTTTGGAGCGACTTTACGGGTCCTGCTTGACATCCTCCGGAGAGAGTTGGGAGCTTCATCATCCATACCTACAATGACAAAAACGAACAAATCAAACTCAATTTAAACAAACATGGCCAAACAAATCAGTGCCCACAAGCCCCCAGACAAGATTTAGGCCTGAAAGTATGAATTACAGTTTCCCTTCACCTATTTGCCAACCTACTGTCCTGTACCTTCCAATTGTCCTAAAAGCTGCGCAATTTCTGCTTCCAGAAATTGAATGGATTTAAACGTCGTTAACAATGCAATTAAGCACTACTCTCCCGGCTAAACTCATTCACGTGCCTAGAAATTGCGGCAACAGAGGGCGGGTAGACAGGTACCTATTGATATTCAATCTCACAAATGGGCAATCAGTCGAAAAGAAAGAAGACATACCATAGCCAGGAACTAGGTCACTTCCGATTGAAGAGCCAGGGAACAATCAGAGAGAATCGCAATAGTTGCTATGAGAGAGAATCACATGGCGGAGCATCAGAAGTTCCGAATCTCACTTTACCTGAAACGAGTATCGGCTAGATTTTCTTCTTGAAATCGCGAAAGACGACGGTTTGCTCTTCTTCTGCAGTTTCCGACGAGATTACTCCGACCGTCCGATGGATTCGCGAACACGAAATGCTGAAACGGGGAAGCGATGGAGTGTCGAAGGGAACAGCAGAGCGGTAACGACCGACGAAAAGAAAAAGAGCAGCCGGTGCCGTGGGCGTGGAGGCCTGTCTATTGGTTCAACGCCGACGGTACTATGCATAACCTTCCACATTATCTTCTAGAACGTTTCTAACCTATTTTCCTATAAATTTTAACACCCTTTTAGGGATGGCAATGGGCCTGCCGGTTTTGGACATCTGTCGGGCGCCGCCCGCTAAAGATGGACTGAAACCCGCGACTACGAAATGGATCGCGGTGACGAGCAGGCTCGCGACCCGCGGGACTCGGTGATGGGTTGGGGATGGATTCAGTGATGCCCGCCCCGTATCCGTCTCGCTAACAAAACAACGTCGTTTTGGTAGGCAATGAGGCTTACTTGTTCGTTTTGTTCATCTGCAGTTCTTCGAACCTTAAACCCAGAAATCTTAGCCTTCCATAATTCAGAATCCCACTACCTGTCTGTCATTCTTAGTAAGCTTTCCAGAAACCCTAGCCTTCCAGTATTTCATTCGATTAGTTTTTCCAAATACCCTAGCAAGCTTTCCTGCTCTTTTGTTTGATTAATTTTTCCTGCTCTTTTGTTTTTGCAGCTTGCTGTTCAGGAGTCCCATCAAGCAGGTGCTACTTAAACTACAGTCTGCTGAGGTAAGTCGTCGACCCTGTTTGTTGTTGGTTGTTCGACAAGTAAACTGAATTGAATGTATAAAATATAAGATTGAACACAACTAATCTGGTAGTGAATGATTTGGTTTATGCTATTCTTAAGTAGTACTTAATAATGCTGAACACATTTTATCTGTGAAGTTCGAATAGTTTCAGTCAATTGATTCTGTTTATGATATACTTAAGTACTAAACACATTTAATCTGTTACACGTGAATAGTTTCAGTAAATTGATTCTGTTTATGCTATGCTTAAGTACTAAACACATCTAATCTGTTAAGTACTTAACTTCGAAACAACTTAGTTGGGAACTTTTACACTGCTCACTGTTGTAAGTAGATGGGAACTTTTAAACAGCTAGGTTGGGAACTTTTAAAGAACTTCCAATAAACTTTTACACTGCTCACTGTTCTAATTAGTTGGCAACTTCTAAGCTGTTCACTTAAGTTCGAAATAACTAATCTCTACTCTGTAAACGTTTTTATATAATAAGAACACAACTAGACATAATTCTAAGATGTATTACTTGTTTCTCCCTCTTAAGTTCTTGGTGCTAACTACAATGTTAATGGTACAGCTGACATGAGTACCAATCAATTCAGTAGGGAGGTGTCTAGAAAGGAGTTTTGCACCATGATCTTGGTGCATGAGTATCCCCTTTCTATTGTTGACCACCTTTACTTCACAAGGTTTGCTGCACCTTGAACCCTCTCTTCAAAGTCCCAACCCGAAATACCATAAAAAGGAGATCGTGACTATTTATGATTTAGAGAAGTCTAAAATTCAAAAGGTCATGGACCAAAACAAAGGGAGGATAGCTATCACCACTGACCTGTGGACTGCAACAAACTAAAAAAGGGCTTACATGGCTGTAACTGCCCATTATATAGACAATTCTTGGAAGCTTAGGAACCATCTAATTATGTTTGGTTATCTCATTGTCCCACACACTAGCGAGAGGTTGGCTGCAAAGCTCGTTAAATGCCTCGAATCATGGAACATTGATAGTACATTGTCGACAATTACTCTTGACAATTGTACTACCAATGATTCCATGATCAATCTAGTTAAACAAAGGTTGGTCCTATCTAATCTGATTAGGGATGGGACACTTCTTCATATGAGGTGCTATGCTCACATCCTTAATCTGATTGTGAGGGATGGCCTAGATGCTCTAAAGAATGGAATTGAGTACATCAGGTGTAACATCCCGAACCTTTTCCCGACAAGATACTGTCCTCTTTGGGCCTCTACACCCGCACGGATTTTGACTTGGGGTGCAATTCAAGGTGACTTCCCATAAGGTCACCCATCCTTGTTGTACTCCACACTGAGCACGTTTAACTTCGGAGTTCTCACAAGAACTCTTCCATTACACCCCAAAACACGTCTTGTTAGTTATGGCCGGTTTCCTACTTATGAACCATGGATCTCTCCCGTGCTTTGTCGATGTGGGATTTTTCTAAGGTGTTACAAACACCCCCCCCCTTGGGACTCAACGCCCTCGTTGAGGTTTGCCCCACCATCGTTCAAGAGGGACGTGGAGAGGCTCTGATACCACTTGTAACATCCCGAACCTTTTCCCGACAAGATAGTGTCCGCTTTGGGCCTCTACACCCGCACGGATTTTGACTTGGGGTGCAATTCAAGGTGACTTCCCATAAGGTCACCCATCCTTGTTGTACTCCACACTGAGCACATTTAACTTCGGAGTTCTCACAAGAACTCTTCCATTACACCCCAAAACGCGTCTTGTCAGTTAAGGCCGGTTTCCTACTTATGAACCATGGATCTCTCCCGTGCTTTGTCGATGTGGGATTTTCCTAAGGTGTTACATCAGGGAGAGTGGTATTTTGGACATGCACACCTAGGAGAGTTGAAATTTTCCATGGGACTGCCCAGCAACTAAAGCTGGTTGTTTCTAAGAAATTGGTGTTGGATTGTCCCACTCGGTGGAATTCTACATATGAGATGCTTTCTGCAGCTATCCCATATAAGGGTTTGTTCTCTGTAATGAAAAGAAGGGAACCTCAATACAACTCTCTGCCAAGCAACGAGTAGTGGGAGTTTGCTGAAATTTTGTGTGGAAAACTTGAGGTTTTCAAGGACATAACTGCTATATTTTATGGTTCAAACTATCCTACAGCCAATCTGTTTTTTGCTAAAGTTTGTGACTTGAGGTTGCGTTTGATGGAGTGGTTAGTTGATCCTAATCCGATGATTGTTTCTATGGCTGCGAACATGTGGGATAAGTTTACCAAATACTGGGATGATATACATTTGCTGGTGGCCGTGGCTGTTGTGATGGATCCGCGGTACAAATTGGATTTGGTTGGGTACTATGCTACCAAATTTGGTATTTCAAGTACTGACCTTGTGATTGAAAGGGTCAAAGATGTTGTTGCTGACGTGGTTGTCGAGTATCAGAGGAAATCCTCTAAAAACACTGTTGTTTTTTCTACTTCTCATCCTTCTTCTTCGGCCACAGATATGGATTTTGATCTATATGTGAGCCAAAGGAAGAAAAAAACCCAGAACAACGATAGTAACCACTGAGTTAGATCACTATTTAGTTGAGGATGTTCATCCTAGAACACCAGATTTTAATTTGCTTGGTTGGTGGAAATTCAATGGTGCCAAGTATCCCATTTTTCAAGTACTGACCTTGTGATTGAAAGGGTCAAAGATGTTGTTGCTGACGTGGTTGTCGAGTATCAGAGGAAATCCTCTAAAAACACTGTTGTTTTTTCTACTTCTCATCCTTCTTCTTCGGCCACAGATATGGATTTTGATCTATATGTGAGCCAAAGGAAGAAAAAAACCCAGAACAACGATAGTAACCACTGAGTTAGATCACTATTTAGTTGAGGATGTTCATCCTAGAACACCAGATTTTAATTTGCTTGGTTGGTGGAAATTCAATGGTGCCAAGTATCCCATTTTGCAAGACATTGCAAGGGATTTACTTGTTATCCCTGTTACAATTGTTGCTTCTGAATATGCCTTTAGTGCTGGTGGGAGGCTTCTGGACCCCATCGGAGCAGGCTTGATCCCAAAACAGTGGAAGCCATGATGATATTGAGGACATGGATTCATGATGATAGCAAAGATGACTGTTTTAGATCCATTCTACTGTTTTGCTGTGTTTTTCATTTCTTACTTTGTAAACTAATTAATTAATTCTTGCTTTCCCTTCCTTGTAGTGTCTGCCTCGGAATTAAAAGCTTTGGAGGGGGTTTTCTCAGCTATGGCAATGGATGATGCCTCGGTGGAAGAGTGCACAGGTAACTGGTTTCTTTGTATAGCTATGACGAGTTCATTAATTTAGGTTTTTACTCTTTTCTAACCATATTGCTTTGTAACTGACTCGACTCTACTGTCACCCTAGGAATTGGCCAAGTGAAACCACTTCCTAGAGCGTGGTATAGCGGGTTAGGTTTATATGTCAACCCGGGTCCTAGATATGATGACTACTCAGTGAATTCTTGTTATCTAGCAATGAAACTGGAATGCAAGTCTAAACTATCAAACTAACAAAGCAAGTAAACTGTTGTATTCAGGTTAAGAGAGGTCACCCGGATATGGTTCCCCCTAGAATGCAGTTAAGCCGGATTGTAATTACCAAGTTCAGTTTCTATGACAGTTATACTGCGGAAGGTTCTTAAACAGCCTGAAGTCTCGACTAAAGGTCTTCAGACCCTCTCAATCTGAATCTCTAGCGGGCGACTAACCTCCACCGGAGTAAACAGATTGAGGCCCTAAGAACAAAACCTCCACTACCGGAATGAATCCGGTACAGAATGGTGAGTTGGTTCCTCGACTAAAGTCACCAACTCCCTATCTTCAATCAAGGATACTCTATTAACCTAGGCAGATATTCTCATTCTAGGTTAAAGCAGAAACAACAGGAATTTGATCAGGATTCAAGTCATTCAATCATTCAAACCTCAATCGAATATAATCAATCATAGAATCAGTACTTGGGTTCATACAATCAAAGCCTAACATACAAATCTAGGGTTCTCCATACCCAGATGAATGGGAGAACTACTCCATGGAGAAGAAAGCAAAAGCAGAATCAGACGCGGAATTCATACTGTGAGGGATGGATTCCTGCTCCTGGACGTTGATCGGCACTTCTCCAAGCTCAAACTGGCCTCCAATGGTGTTGAAGATCAAGCTAGGGCGCTTGGAGACTCTTGTTCATCGCTTTCTCTCACTAGGAACTGATCTCTCTCTCTAAAACTCGAATCCCCTTCTCTTTGGCTGAAAATCTGCTTAAAAAGGCATCAGTGGCCAAAGCACGGTCGAGGACACGGCCGTGCTTTGCCTGAGCCTGCCCGTGCCTCGGCCAGGGTTAATTACACAGCCAGCAGTTGGGAGAAACACGGCCGTGTTTCGCGGTGGACACGGCCGTGCTTTGGTGAAACACGGCCGTGCTTTGGTGCCCGTGTTTGCAG